ACTAAACGTTTTGATACATGAAAAAGCAGCGTCTACAAGGTACACGCTTGGCCAAATGAAATAATGAGCCAGGATATACAGATTAAATAAAATAGTAAAGATCGATGGCTATTACACCATAGGTACTAAAAGACACATATCAACAGGCACCTATGTCACTAATAAGATATAGTGGGTAGAGATTCTACGAAGTCGAGATAAAATCTTTAAAATATTCCAAAGTAGAGCTATAGTCATCATTGTTCAACCGCCACGGGCCTGCTCCAGACGTATGTCAAAATGGAATATATATATATATATATATATATATATATATATATATATGTGTGTGTGTGAAAATATATAGAAAATAGGAAGGAACTGGTTAGGTAAATAATCCAAAGTCCCTTAGTATTTTAGTTATTATTTTTTAAAAATAGTGCTCGATACAAAAGTAGAGCATAAATATAATTATTTATTTAAAAATATGATTCCAAATCGCTACATAAGGGTCTCATGTTTCAAAATTAAGCCAAAAACTTCAATATAATCCTTTAAATTAAATTGAGTTGAATTAAAAAAAATTTCCATTTGAGGATGGAACGGAGCCCATTTTGTTTCAATCAATTTAATTTAAAGGATTATATTGAAGTTTTCGGCTCTAGTTTTGAAACATGAGACCTTTATGTAAAGCGATTTGGAATCATATTTTAAATAAATAATTATATATATATATATATATATATATATATATATGTGTGTGTGTGTGTGTGTGTGTGTATTAAACTCAGAAATTTGTCTCAACCTACCTGTATGATAAAAAATCGAAAGGTTGGGCCATATAACTTTTAGGTTCGAAATGAATTTGGACAATTATTGACAGAATTGACAAATTGTTTGAGAAGAATGATTCTTAATTTGTTTAAAGATGATCATTAACATTAGTCAACCTAAAAGGTCTGACGTTTCCAATATATATATATATATATATATATATATATATATATATATATATATATATATATACAATCATTTCATTATTGGAAGTGTTACCTGATGATCCGAAATCCTTTAAAAAGGATTTTGGTGAAATAAATTATCGTAATGGTACCTTAAAGTGGTCTGTTTTTCATTAAATATTAGCTCTGTTCTTCATATTGAGCTTTCAGGATTTCATCCTCCTTGGATTTATCAATTGGTTTACCAAGTTCTTCATAATATATATATATATATATATATATATATATATATATATATATATATATATATCGATTTCATCGAAGAGAACTGACACGGCTCTAGGATTAAGCTATTTGTTATTTTTATATTTTCTTTCATTCGTACACAAGATTTCATATATATATATATATATATATATTTGTATGTATGTATATACATACATATATCTGTATGTACATAATATATGAATACATATATATATATACATATTTGTATATATATATACATATGTGTATATATATATGTATATGCATATATATATATATATGTAATTAGATATATGTTTATATAGTGATTTTATAGCATATTTAAGTAGTGATTTTATAACGTATTTGTTATAATGTTCAAATAAATTATATATATGTATATACATATATATGCATATGCATATGTATATAAAATATATATATATATATATATACATATATATATACTTATCTATATAAATGTATGTTTATATTATATATATATGCATGTTTATATTATATATATATGCATGTTTATATTATATATATATATATATATATATATGTGTGTGTGTGTGTGTGTGTGTATTACACATTCAACAAGTTCAATCAAATGCAGGCTATTGTTGATTTTATGAATACATTGTCTTTTCAGAGAAAAGCAGATATAATGTGATTTGGGCATTTTTTTAAAATAAATATATATATATATATATATATATATATATATATATATATATATATATATATATATATATTTAAGTATTAGCAGTTTGTGACTGGTAGGGATAATTCCAATGAGGATATAAATCCAGGGATATCTCAATTTAGATTACAGAGCGTTACAATTATAATAATGATAAAGAAGGAATCTTTAATTATTCATTTCCATTATAATTTATTTCGTGGAAATCTAAATGTTTCTCTCATCATATCGAATAAATGGAGGGATTTTAAATACAGATAATTAAACCAAATAAATTTAGAAAATTCAAAGTGAAAATACAAATGCATAGAATGTAATTGTGAGTTTTGTTTCAGTAGAAACATAGCGAGCTATAACTGAATAATACTAACGAATTTTTTTAAAATCAATTTATCCCAAGCAAGGGGATAATGCCACTAAGACCCAGGAGGCATTAATGACATTATGTGAAAAAGTGAAAGACAATGAAAAGACTTTAAAAGTAACCAGAAACCTAATCCTAAACAAGAAACAAGGGATAAACCTCTACTCCTGTCCAAAAGACCGTGGAGGTGCCGGAACCGGAAGATAGGTGAAGTAGAAGTATAGAGTTGAAGTAGACTTTAGAAGGAACCGGAAACCCAAGCCTAAATAAGAAACAAGGGATAAACCTCTACTCCTGTCCAAAAGACCGTGGAGGTGCCGGAACCGGAAGATAGGTGAAGTAGAAGTATAGAGTTGAAGTAGACTTTAGAAGGAACCGGAAACCCAAGCCTAAACGACGAACAAGAGATATTCCTAAACATGTACAGTGGAAGGAGAACACTTTATCCCCGTAGATTAAAGGGTTTAGTTTAGAATTCTATGTAGGTTACCTGAATCGATAGATGGTCGAAGAGTACAACAGCCAAAACGTGATGATAACATCAACAAATTTGAGTATAATTATCCGAATTTAAATAGTGAAAATAACCAACTTATTAAATCGATTATTGGCACTATTTATATTCGTTCAATTGCCCTCATCTATGTTGATTTTATTACAACATTTCGGCCGTTGAACGCTCCAACCTTCCTCAGGTGTATATCGACCTCGGTAATCTACAAGGAGATTCAAACAGAACCCTTTATTTAATCAAGGAGGTAGACTGTTTTCGTCCCACTGCTCATGTCTAGGCATATAGCGTCTAATTTTGATGTTATTTTAGTACTGCTCACTTATTGCCCACCTGTTTCCAATTAATACAAGAACACACTTCCTAACCCAAGGATTGAACTCACAACCACTATATCAACAAATTCACAAACCAACATACTAGTCCACTGTCCCGTATCCTTAAAAAAAGTTTCCTGCCAATATTCGTGCCGAATATTCATTCTTTTCGTATTTATTTTCAAGGACTTATCTGTAAAACTTGTAAACCTTAATGTGTTACGCCTCGATACACAGTTGGAAAGCATCAGCAATGCCGATGCAGATGCTCCTTGGATTTTCACCAGAGCCCTTGTTAGCCGGCGTGTGTGTCAGACCTGTCCGCCTTGGGTGGCCCTACCAGGAACGAAGTTCCGGACGGCATAGCTCTGACAGATGAAATGTTTACACCCCCCCAACCGACTGTGAGGTAAGGGTTGGACTTTGGGGGGAGAACTTTTAGCAACCGGCGGCTTCTGGTCGTTCCTGTCTCTGCGTCTGTGGGGATCCCGCGGCAAGCAAGAACGTCATCCGAGTAGGCCTGGGTACCCTACTTTTTGTAATTTATCCCAAGAATCTTCTTCTCACATGACTACGAATCATCACTACTCTGCTGCACATGCTACGGCGTCCGCGGGAGCCGACGCGCTGGCTCTTTGATCAGCGGAGACAGTGGAAAATCTGCAAGCCGATCATCCCCATCCCCATCCCCCGCGCCCTCCCCGTCTGATGAATCGTAGAGAAGAGCTCAGAGTGGGCTGCTGGAACGTACGCACACTCCGTGGCGAAGGAACGCAAGCGCTCACCATGAGGGCCCTTCACGATTATGGGGTCAACGTGGCATGCTTTTCCGAAGTGAGACTCCCAGACAGGGGGTATCGCACAATCAAGGTTTCTGGCACAGATGTCGTCTATCATCTCTACCACAGTGGAGTGACTGATAACAGTGGCCACCACGGTATGGCCATCGCCCTGAGCCCTGAGGCTCAAGCAGCCTTCCTGAGGTGGGACCCGCGCACTCCGAGACTCGCCACGATGCGACTGAGGGGACACCTGTTCAACATCAGCATTATCGCCGTCTACGCCCCCACACTGAATGCGCCTGAGCAATTCTACGCTGACCTCCAGAGAGCAGTTGGACGGGTCCCTGCCAGAGATCTCCTTCTGGTAGCGGGGGACTGGAATGCACGCACGGGCCCCGCCGACCCAACCACCAGACATGTGCTTGGACGTTTCGGTCTGGGGACACGCTGCGAAAATGGAGACCGCCTTGTTAACTTCGCCTCGTGGTCTCCAACACACGTTTCCAGCATCGAAGGCGCCACCTCATCACGTGGAGGTCTAATGATGGACACACGGCCAATCAAATCGACTACATCCTGGTTCGGTCGCGATGGGCAAGCTCGGTCCTCAACTGCCGGGCATTCAGAGGAGCCGATACAGGAAACGAGCACGGCTCAGACCACGCCCTGGTTTGTGCAATTCTTCGCCTACGTCTCCAGGCCAGACGACCCAACGGACGACCAAAACGTCTAGATCTCACTAAACTCAAATCGGCAGCAGGGACGAACTTCCGTATCGACCTGCAAAATCGTTTTGAGTTGCTCCAAGAGACCATCGATCAGCAGCCTGAGCGGGAGTGGCGGACCCTTAAGGAGGCTACGGTGGAGGCAGCTCATCTCCATCTTGGCTTCACAAAACGTCGCCAACGTGACTGGATGACGGGTGCAACGCTTGAGCTTGCCGAGAACGCGAGAAGAGCGTGGATTGCGAAAGCTCGAAACTATCGCATTCTTCGACGCCAACTGAGGGAGGCCATTGGGACCGATAGCAATGCGCGCTGGAGCAGGGATATGAGGAGGCCGAGAGAGCATCTTACGTGTGGACACGCGCAAACTCTACCAGCTGCTGAAACAGGCTGGTCGGGGCGCCATTGGACATGGCGACACGCTTTGCCGGAGATGGATCGATCCTAACAGAAGTCGCTGAAAAGGTCAATCGATGGCGCGAACAATTTGACGTGTTCCTCAACCACCAGCCCCCCGCTGTACAGTTAGACCTGCAACCTGCGGATGGAACTTACAACTGCAGCGTTGATCCGCCAACAATTCAGGAGATTCTGTCTGTCCTTCGTCAGCTGCGTAACAACAAAGCTCCCGGGGAAGATGGGATCCCGGCGGAAGTCACTAAGGCCCTGCCTGACATCTTATAAAATGGCTTCACAGGGTCTTCAGTGCGGTGTGGACCACGGAGACTGTCCCTGATGACTGGGGACACGCTGTTTTGCTGCTATTCTTTAAGAAAGGTGACAGGAAGGTGTGCTCCAACTATCGGGGAATCAGTCTGCTCGATGTAGCGGCCAAAACCTTCGCAGTTCTGCTTCTGAAGCGATTCCAGACGGCTCGAGACGCCCGCACGCGTCCCACCCAATGTGGTTTCCGCCCGGGGAAAGGATGTGTGGATCAGATCTTCAACCTGAGGCACACAACCAACGGTCCTGTGCTTCATCGACTTCGCAGCTGCGTTCAATTCGGTCGATCGAGATGCACTGTGGAAACTTATGCTGGCGGACGGCATCCCTGTGAAATTGCTTCACCTTATCCAGGGGTACTATCGAGCCACGCGGGCGCGGGTGCGGGTCTACGGTGAGGAATCGGAGCCCTTCGACGTCAGGTCCGGAGTCCGACAGGGATGTGCCCTCTCACCCACCCTCTTCAACTTTGCCATCGACTTCATCCTCAACACTGCCCTCCGCGGCTACTCAGGTGTGTCGGTCGGTAGAGATGTAGAGGTGTCGGACTTATCCTATGCCGATGACATCGTCCTTCTGGGGTCCTCGATTGCAGACGTCGAAAGTGTTCTCGAAAGAGTTTACAACACGGCCCGCTTTGTGGGTATGCGTATTAATGCATCGAAGACCAAGATGCTTTTCTGGAAAGTCCCACCAGAAGCCCAGCGCCCCATCTCGCTGGACGGTGTCAACCTGGAGATGGTCGAGTAGTTTGTCTACCTAGGATCGGCTGTGGTTGCATCCGGACAAGGAGTGTTTGAGGTGGAACGTCGGATGGGCGCGGCGAGATCTGCTTTCGCCCGTCTCCAGCGCTGTCTGTGGAACCGGAGAGAGATCTCGGCCACCACGAAAGGGCGGATCTTCCAGGCGATCATTCGCTCTATCCTCCTATATGAGTGTGAAACCTGGCCGCTCAGGGTGGTTGACCAGCGCAAACTGGAGGTGTTCGACAACGACTGCCTCCGTCGCATCCTGCACTGCCGACGCGTCGACCGGGTCCCTACCACCGAGCTCCGCCGCCGCCTCGGCCTACGCCCTCTGCCCGCAGTCCTTCTTCAACGGCGTCTCCGATGGTTCGGACGCTGCGCGCCGGTCGAGAGGGGAGCTGATACGGGACGTTCTCCTTCCCACACCGCCGTCCACCTGGCGGAAGCGGATAGGTGGACAGCTGAAGACGTGGGCCTCAACGATCAAGGAGGATCTGGCGCTACTTTCCGGCCCGTATGTGGTCGGCCTCCACCGCTGGAACCGCGACTGGCTTACCATCTCGTGCGACCTCGCGACAGACCGACGGGCGTGGGCAGCAATGGTCCGTGATGCGGTGCGTCAACAGGAAGAAGCCGGCTCAATCCGCCTAGGGTGAATGCCGCATCAAGACAAGAGAAGACATCAGCAATGGTATTGGTCCTGATCGGTGTCTCCTATCGCCGTAAGCTTACCTCTCTGTGTCTTTTCTATAAATGCTTTCATGGTAATTGTTTAGATGAGCTCTTCACTATAGTATGCTCATTGGCCCCCTTTTATTTCTGTCCCTATTTTTTTTTCTTTAAGTTTTATTTCCCCATCCCCTCCCTCGTTAGGTGGTCAGTGATGTCAGTTCGCTGGTGGATGCAGGGTACCTTTCGTTTCGCGTGAGTGGTTTTTTCGTATTTGTTGTCGTGTCTGAATGAGTGCATGTCAGTGTGAGTGTGTGGGAGGTATGAATGGTTTACACTATTATAGTCCAGCATTGATTTCGGCCAGTGAAGTGATGTTTCTGTCACATGTAGTGATTGGGGGGGGGGGGCTTTTATTACTCATCTTATATTCTTTAGTTTCTTGTAAATAGTTTTTTCTATTCATAATGTAAATACTCATTGGGGTTAACTTTTAGAATTGTTGTTTTATTCCCCTCTCCCCACCCCCACAGACATCGAATTGTAAATATGGGGACTAGTTAGTATTTTCATAGAGACAAAGAGGTATTATGGTGATTGTAGTAAGAAAGGTACGTATGAATGTGTTGTTTTGGTATAAGGAATATTGTTTCGTACGATTGGGTCAGTGTTTGCGGCTAGCTAAGTTATAGTTAAGACAGAGGAAGACCGTCCTTTCCCCAATCCCCTTTTCGGCCTTGTGCCACATTTCTGTAGGGAACAGAATAAATATTGCTCTTCACTATGGTACCTAGACTTATTGAATTTAAGCGCAGTGCTGGACTGGCGTCGTGATCTCATCAATTTACAGTTGAACTGGCTAAATGGAACCATAGGTTCTATGCTCAAAGTTTCTTTTCTCGCTTGTGGGGCTCCTTTCCGGCTCTATGCTTTCCAGCTAACTTTAGTCTGCAAGGGTTTGAATGCAATGTCGGTCGCTGTCTGCTGCCCTCCTTCCCGCTCGTTATTACTATTTCTGTTCCTAATTCTTCCACATCCTTAGTGACTTTATTGCCTTGTGTGGGGTGTGAAACCGATTAAAAAACAACAAATTAATATAGAGGGATTTAGTCGTATGAACATTTTTTTCTCTAAAATTTTGACAAGAGACAAGTTTAAAAATAAATATTCTCTTTTCGATAAATTACAAAAGAATTTTTTAATGTCAAAATAGACTTGTTATTACGTTCCCAAAATGAAGTGGACATTTTATGGCGTCAGTGTATACACAAAGACAACAACATTTTCAGACAGAGAATATACATTTATATCATAATTTTTATCATTCTTTCTACTCTGATTATCAGAAAGATGAACAAGTTTGATACATGATTTATGTTTTTTTCGCTTTTTTTTAATCGTTAATGAAATTTTAATATATATATATATATATATATATATATATATATATATATATATATACTAAATATGTCTTGATAATGTCTGATGACAGGATACCCAAGATCCTAATAAAAACCAATTAGAACAGGGCTACAGGAATATAGGACGCCCATGGCTAAGATACAAAGACAAGCTGAAAAGCAACTTGTCAGCAGTCAATATGCCACATAACACCCTTGAGCGCTTAGCCTTGGAGCGGGTAGAATGGAGATGAACGTGTTTTAGTGGACTCGGCAATTTTCAATCTGCTTGTCTGAATCATCTTCAAGAAGCAAGAGCAAGATCTAAAAGGTCAGCCAATCTAACAGTGATCTCATCTCACAATCCTCACACTTGCTCCATATGTGGACTCCTTTGTAAATCTCTAGCAGGTCTTAAATGCCACTTAAGATTATCGCACACAATTTCATAACTGAATCAATAAGCGGTCAGATCCTCATGCGTCGAAATCGACCTAGTTGTTCCAATATACATACATATATATATATATATATATATATATATATATATATATATATATATATATATATATACTGGCCTGAATATTCGATCCAGAAATCTTAGAAAAGTATTCGCCCTCCGGTAGGATACGAACCTGTGTATCGTCATTAGACCAGATGTGCCTTGACTTTTCTGTCCCATGATCAAGCAAAGTCCGATTAGTGTTTTTGAGATATATCTTTCCCGATGCTCGATATATACATATATGCTCTGTTTCGTATCCGAACGTAAACAAAGAAAATTCTTTTTTAGAAAAATGGATTAAAACCGACATATTTTTAATTTATTTGTTTTAAACGTTATTTGTCATGGATACTCATATTTAAGTAGGTGGTTTATTTTTTATTATATAATTATTAAACAGTATATTTATCTATTTACATCTACCGTCCTGAATATTCGAGAAGGCTCATACTTTTTTAACAAGATTTCTCGAATAAAATTTTATTTTTTAAAAGCTGAATATGAAAATTATCCCAAATTAAGCAAGAACTGCTATGTTGGAGAGGATATGTGTTGGTAGATATAAATGTCAAAATCCTATTGGAGATACCAAATTCAAACAAGTACAGCAATTTAAATATCTGGGAATTGTTTTAGCAGAGGACATGCAAAGCTGAAATTCGAAGGCGTATTGGGATAGCGAAAGATGCCTTCCAAAAACTAAGCAAAGTAATTAAAAACAGAAAACAAGATATATATATATATATATAAATATATATATATATATATATATATATATATATATATATATATATATATATATATATATATATATATTTATATATATATATATATATATATATATATATATATATATATATATATATATATATATATATATATATATATATATATATCATAAAATCAAATGGCAAGGCAGATTAAAGGCGTTAGTTAGATCCTTTGACAGGACCCAAAGAATGTGAGTTCAATCCCAGGTTTAAAGCATTGGAGAACTTGAAGAGGGGAATTAAAAAAGATAACTGAAAATGACATCCATTAAACATGGCGCATGGAACTAGAACAGTCTATCCCAGTGAACGAAATAAAGGGTTCAGTTCGACATTCCAACCACTCGAAGAAGGCCGGAGCTCACAACGGTCGAAACGTTGTAATAAATATGGCGACAAAGATGAGGACAATAGTTCGAATAATGTAAATAGTGTAGAGAAATCTTGTTAGAACAAACAAAAGTCTACTGAACTGCTACATATAATCCTCCTATATAGCAGTGAATGCTGGACAATGGCCTTACAGATGAAGAAGATACTTAAAGCAACAGGAGAATGCTGGGAATAACCTGGATCGACCATATGAGCAGCGACAAAATTTTAGAGGAAATGGAAAGAAAAAGGCCTTATATACTTAACATCAAAAAGAATCATTTTAAATTTCTACATAGTGAGGAAAGAAGGCTTGGAAAATTTGATACTCATAGTGTAGATTAAAGGCAAGAGGAAAGAAGGCGTAAACTACCTAGTGAGCTTGAGTAAAGAGATGACAGATAACAAAAACAAAATTTATTAAGAGTTACAGTGGACAAGAAATTGTGGAGAGCCATGATCACCAAAGTCCTGTAGGAACACATCAAGTAGATGACGATTACATGATATTTTCATAGGCATGCAGCAACGGAAAACAACCTAATTCATTTTTAGTGTTTCGAACAGATTCATACCTACATACATACATTATGACTTTAAGGAAAATACTGTTAATAACGATGGATATTTTGCGCTGATTAATTTTAACGATCGACTTTTCCAAGTTACGAACAATCCTTTTCAGTCAAGGAGAAAATTCCGTCAGAAATTATTCCAAATTCATTTCGAACGTAAAAGTACAGGAAATATGGTCTAAGATTTCAACTTTCAGGGGAAGTAGAGACAGTTAGTGTGTTTCGTAGAACTGGTAAGTTTTGTAACGTAAGCGAGATGTGATGAGATTTTTTTTTAATATACAAGGTGCAGCAAAAGTAACTGCCTTTTATCGAGCTAGGGCGACGCATAACAATTGAGTGGCCGGCTCTATCATCATAC